CTTCCTATGTAAACTCTAGGGAAACAAACTTTTAAAAATTAAGAAATATTTTTTAAATTGTTTTGAAAAGAGACTTTCCTGTTTTGTTTGTTTGCTTATTTTTCTTCCCCTTGTGAAAACATGAATATTTCTGTAGTGCTTGGATTGTTTCGGAAGAGGAGGAGAGGTTCTTTACTTTCCCCCTGTCCGTGATATCACAGGGATTCAATGTCTTGCTTCTCTTCCATGAGTATCAATCCCTGTGTTCAGCTGTTGTGGAGATATAGTTGACTTCTAACACTGACTGTGAAGCATATGCAGAATATGTTGTGCACTTATAATAATATAATAATATAATAATATAATAATAATAATTAATTAATATTAATAATATTAATTGATATTATTATTAATTAATATTATTAATTATTATTATTATTATTATTAAATATAATAATTATAATAATAAATAAAAGGTCTAAATACCCTGTTGTGCTAAGATGTGCTACTTAGAAGTTATGACTACAGGTCACTCAGATGCAAGTAGTACTCAAAGGCCCCAGAATCACTGCAGTGTGATGGACACTGTATGAACTTCTTTGTTGAGACTGAATCATAAAAAAAATGCTTTATATTTTTCATGTATTTAAACAGAAAAAAGATTATCATGACCGTTGCTAAAAATAATTCTAGTAATTTAATAGAAGAAAAGCTTAAATATTCATAAATATGTATTAAATAAGATAGCAAAAAACCTTGTATACAGACAGTTTGAAATGCAGATTGAAGTCTGTCTGCAGGTATCCTGAACAGGAGTGCAGAAAGAGTGGATTGGTCTGAAGAGCAGTAACAGAGCAAGAGACTTGTACGCTGTGACCCGCTGGGGTTTGCATATAGTGCCTGTTATTAGGCAAGAGCAACCAGGTAGCACCAGAGGACACAGCGATTGCTATGGGACACTACCAGCAATTGGATAAAGAAATCTGTGGATAGAATAGTCCTAAAGTCGCAGAGACTTATATGAAATTTTACTAAGTTTTTGTTGGCTCCTGTTTGTTGGAAAGTGGTAACGAGGATCTTTTTCAAATGCCTGAATTTCATTAGTGAGTAAAATTCAGTAATGAAGGTATTTTTAATGTAGTTTCACACCCTAAAAACTTACATTTCCATGTATGTACACCTTGTTATTCCACTGCTTCAAGCACCATTTAGAGGAAAGAAGAAATGTCTCTCATGCAGGAGTACTATTTTGTGGTAATGCTTTATTTAAGAATTTTGAAGCCTCAGTCCTGAGGAGGTGAATGGGAAAGGATGAGTAAGATGATGATCATGGGAATGATGAGTAAGAGCTGAAAACCTAATTATTTTGTCTATGCAGATGGTTACAGACATCTAAACACAATGGCTTTAGAAAATGGAGTTCAGTTGCCAGTTTCAGAGTAATTACAGTTTTCTTATATTTGTCCTCTTCTTAGTGGAAAGTGCTTGTTTTAATTAGCTCATTATGAACAATTTAATTAGAAGCTATGTTTGTTGAAGAAAATTATTTTAGGGGTCAATTCTTTCCACAGTATTTTCTGATCAAAGAAACTAATGACATATAGTAAGTATAATTATGAAAGATTATTATTTTTAAATTCCACATAGGCTGTTTATCAGGGTTAAAACAAACATAAATCTGGATATTCTTCCTATTCATTATGCTGCCTATAGGCATTTAAGTTATTCACTATTTTATTTCCAAAACAATAATATATAGGAAGATCTCCATGTAAATAAATAACTCATTGATTAAAGTACAGTAGAATACTTAGGAATTTATGTTTCATCGAAGCTGTTGTAAGTCTTCATCTGTAGTCCTGTTTTCCAAAATATTATATTCAAATCTTATTTTTACACAGGAAGAAATCAAAGTTAATATGATGAGGAAGTATGAGATAATGGTGGAGCTGAGAAAGAACTTTCTTTATAGAGTTTATTGATAGGAGACACAAAGTATTTTTAGCAGCTTTATTTGAATGCCCTTCAGGAGACTTATATGGGTGCAAGAGAAATCAAAACACAGTCTGATGACGACCAAAGGGTTCAACATAATAAGAGGTTCATGATTTTAAAACCATCAATATTTTATAAACTGTTTTCTTTCATGAAAAGAGAGGAATCAAAATGAGATCTTAAAAAGAGTAACTTAAGGATTTTAAAGGAATGGTGATGATATGAATAATAAAATTAGAAGACAATCTGAAAGAAAAAAATAAACTTGAGAATTTTGCTTTTTGAAAAATAATTTTCTGTATTTCGCAAGGAAAGCTATTATTTGGCTAAATAAGGGTATTTACATAAGACTATTTCAAAGACAGCTTCCCAAAATATTTGACTGGCTGTCTGTGTGCATTTCTAATATTAAGACTGTTGACTGGGACAACCCAGTGAAATCTATCTGTAAATGAACAGTGTTAAATGTTGCAGGAAAGAATGTCAGCTTCAGGAGCCCAAGCTGACCGTGTCGCTGCCTCTTTGACGCAGATGTGCTGGCAGGGCAGCTACTGAGCTAGTTTTTGCCAGCTTCTTTCAACATGTTTGCCAAAAAGGCACCAGCTCTGCTGCCCAGGGTTTGCACCCTGGCAGTACTGGCCAGTGTGAAGCCTAGTGTGTTAATCTGGCCTGCAAGAGAGGTCCTGCTGCAGCTGAGCGAGTTACCAAACTTGGGCTCCGTAGGACTAGGACATGTCTTGTATAAAGCCTCTTTCCAGGCTTTCATCACCATTCCAAGTTTAGAATAAAAATTCCAGATTGAATGTAGGAGATACCTGAAAAGAGTCTGTCACTAAACACCTCTAAACCAAGGAGAGTAGGGGTAGAGGGTCTGTGTCCTTCCTGGGCTAAAGCCTGAGATGAAAGACAACAAATATCTTTGGACCTTTGCAAATTCTGGATTTATCTGTATTTTTCTCAGTCTTCTCTGGAAATGAAATCTGGAGAAGATCACAGTAATAACCAAATAAAGATCTGGGTAATGCTTTTATGACAAGCCATGGATCTGACATCCTGTCTTTCCAGACTCATCGTGAAGATGGTCGTAGGCTAAAAAGACAAACAGCTGCCAAAGACGGATTTGGTGTCAGGAGGATCCTCTGCCTTGGATTGCATAAGTTGAAGGACATCTATCTATCTATCTATCTATCTATCTATCTATCTATCTATCTATTACTAGCCTGATTATTTTCCATAAGGAAGATGAATTAGGAACACACCTAGAAGAATAATCTGTGGTTCCTGCTTCTGTATAGCGGGTTTATGTGTGCCTCTATGTGCATGTGTATGTGAGATGGTGGTTTACATTGGACCTGGAAGAAGCACAGCTCTAGTATCAGAAGGTACCAGAATCGTGGAGAGAATGAAAAAATGCAAATGGTAGCAATGTGGTCTGTGTTTTTCAATCCCTTCCCGTGTTGCATTGTGCATGCTCCATGTGATACAAAGCCTCCGTGCTCATTTATATCGCCAAAATTCCTTGTCTAGCTACCTTTCAGAACAGGAAAATATTCTGTATATTTTCTTGACTCTACAGGGTGCATCATTCTCTTATAGCTTATACTTTGAATAGTTTTCTTTTTGATTTTTAGACATGTTTTATACTGACTCATAGTTCAAACTGTGCAACTAACGTTCAGAGACAATGTAAGATGTTGGTTACTCTGAATTTAGAAACCTTGAATTTAGAAACAGCAAATGGATACTGATCACTTTTATATTATTGATTTTTATGCAATATTTGTTATATAGATGACATTATTTTAAAATATGATATGTAATAGAAATAGCATACTTACCTAAACCAAATATCACTCTCTATTTTACTAACATTAATATAAAGTTGTGTGTGTTACATTAAGTTTTCCAGTGCCTTGTGCCTTTCTCTCCTCAGAGTCTCAAGACAAGGCAAGGCTTGCTATAATTTTAGTTGCTACCAGCTAGTCTACATTTAAATATTGCTTTAAATATTAGCATATAAGTATGTGTTTAAGTAGTAGCATATAAATATTAGTATATAAATATGCTAATATTTAAATATTATCAGACTTAAAAGATGGCAACCATTACAGATAAAGCCCACTCTGGGAAGCTCGTTAAGAAGCAGAAAGCAGAAGCAGTAATACCTGTATTGAAACAAAATATAAATCTGTGTGGATCTATCCAAAGCTTAGGAATTACTCTTGTTGCTTTTAGTTTGCTGCACCTTTGTCTAGTGTCTTGGGAAAGAAATAATGTTCAGTATGTTAACTTCATTATTTTAAAGTTATTAATTTAAAAATAAAAATAAACTATTTTTTACCGTCTCATTTTAATGCATCTAGCTAAATGGTAATGTACTGGTTCAAAATTCTTTGAATATAAAACAGTTCTGGAGTTTTTTTCGTATCCAGAATAATATCTTTTATAATAAAACAGTACGCTGAAGTGAGAGGGAAGACAAACAATCCAGCTGGACATCTTTGCTACTGTAGATCTCAAATGGAAAGTGTTTCATTATCACTTTCGTTCGGACTAGTGCATTTCATTCCCAGTGATTAATCCTCTGCAAATTCTTGTATTCTAGAAATGTTCATGCAATTTGTTTCTGCAGGCAGGTTTTAATTTTGCCATATTTAACACGTAAGCAGCTTATTCCCCAGGAAAGGGTGTCATTCTTTCTCCTATTCAGCCCAGCTTGCCTGTATTTCAATTGTTGCTAGGTGCTAGAGGCTCCTTATTCAATAATTATATTAAGCTTTAGGATGTCTGCTGGCGGCTGATGCAGGCACAATGGGAAACCTGTTTTCCCCAGGTCCATTTGCAAAGCTGTGCAGACAGTTTCTACCTATTGAGAAAGGAAGAATTAATCTCGATGCTGTTTGGTTTGTAAACACAAAAGCCTGCTGAAAGCGAATCGCTCAAGTGCCTGTGACTCTTTCTGCTGTGATCAATTGTGTTCAGTTATGCAGCTCACCATGCAACGTCTCTGTTTTTGTGTATTGCAGGTAGCATAGTGTACCTTGGGATGATGGTGGGGGCGTTCTTCTGGGGAGGCTTGGCAGACAAGGTGGGAAGGAGACAGTCACTCCTGATATGCATGTCTGTCAATGGATTCTTTGCCTTCCTTTCATCATTTGTCCAGGGCTATGGCTTCTTCCTCTTCTGTCGCTTGTTTTCTGGATTTGGGTAAGCTCCTCTGCTTTTGTTCCTTTCTACAGTTCTGTGTGTTGGTAAAAATTGCCTGTATGCAAAAGGCTGTTTGATATGGGAATGTAATCGGGTGTCAGAGACTGGCATATTATATGATGTGGCTACTACAATCTGAAATAACTTGATGGGGAAGAATGATTTTAGGGGTAAGATACGGACTGAAAACTGAACGATTGACTTTTCCTATTTTGACACAGATTTCTTTTGTGAATTTGAACAACTTGCTTAACTCTTTTATACCTCTGCTTCTTTAGGTACTGCTTGTTCAGGATGCAAAATAATACTCTCTCCACAGGTGTACTGCAAGGCTTCACTGATGTTTGTGAACTTTCTAATATCGTTATGTGTATAGCACTGTTTATAATACCACTGCAGTCAAAATTGCTTTGGGGGACCTCATTAGCAGCATTCCAAATGTTATGGGCTTTTTTCCGAATAATGATGCTTATTACCCTATATTTGCCTTGTTTTTCTCTAATTTAAACAACAACTTTGTTAGTAGAGAAAGTTTAAGAGACTAGTAAGGGATGATGAAGTTTAAACTTCACCCAAGCTGAGATGGATAGACACAAGTCAATCAGTATCAGGACGCTTCTACCCTCATCCTACCTTTACTGCACCCAGGGATAATCCAAGTCGCTTCCACATCAGACCACTGCAATGTTAAGGATGTGGACGGGCCGGCAAGGGTGCAGGAAGCTGGAGTGGCAAAGCCAGGCAAGGCAAGGCCATTGCTAATAGGGTTTGATGGCCTAAAGGGCTTAACCCAGGTCTGTCACCTGTTTGGGGGTTCTTTACTCCATCCCACCTCTTGCTCAAATGAAAAGCAAATTGTCAGTTGAATATCTCCGTTTTCAGAGGAGGTGGATTTATTTCCGTAATTTTGTAGGAGAGAGCCTGGATGGGAAATATGAATAATTTAAAACAAAAAACTATTTGATATGTTGTAAAGGCAAAATGATGTTGGTGCTCATATTGGATAAAAGCTTTCTGAAAGGTCAGAGAACTACGTGGGCAATTTAATGGAAGCTTGTAAATTATTGAGATGTATATGTGAGATGTGAAAATTGAAAAGGTGTGTGGAGTTTAAACTGGTATGCCATGCTCTAGAAAATATAAAGACAGATGGAGTAGCATGAAATAGAATCTAAATTGATTTTACTTTAAATACTATAAAATAGATTTTCTTCAGATTCTATTGCAGTCAAAATGTGTTTATAGAAGTAAATCACTTAGGAGAAAAAATACCTTTGATTTTGTTTTTGTACCTGAAAAAAATGAAACTGAAAATTCTGCATTGCCAAAAGAATGATTTAGAATACAAAACAATATAAATAATAAGGTATTGTTGGGTAAAGGACATATGCTGAGGGATATCAAAATCTTAAAGATGAATTAAAGTAGCGAAAAGAATAAAGAAAAGTTGGGTAGTCTGCAAAACCATTTTCTTTTATAGAAAATAATATCATAGCTGTGATTCCTACTTTGATTAATTCCAAATCACAAAGCAAAAGGAAATTGAATCCCACAGGCAGATAAATGTGGAAGCAAGCTTGAGACTTGGCTTCCTAAGTAAGAGCCGCTAGGCAAGAAACTGTGAGCTCAAGTTCTCACTGGCCATTGATGGCCTGTGCCAGGGCTTATCAGCAAGAAGCAGTTGGTTAGATCTGCCTTTGAAAATGTTAAAGGAATGCTTCCCAAACACCAGAATGTGGCTCATAACATCCCTAACTGCAGTGGTCCTGGAGTTGTTGCCTGTTCAGCAAGGCCGCTGTGAAGCTGTAATCTAGGCTGGAGAATTTTATCTGAGCTCTGTTACAAAATTTTGCATTTATTTCATTTCATTCCAAGTTACTATTTTTGGTACTCTCAGATACCTTTGGGTGCAATTTTTTCTAGCAATAACTCAGTTTCGAACAGAATGCTTAAGCGTGTGCTATCCCAGTACATTGTAATTGTGCTTTTAATACACTTAAGAGCATTGTCATCTATTTCATTGTAGTTGCCTTGAAATAAGCAGAGATGATACCGGTACATGGAATGTGTCATACTTATCCAACCTGCTGTTACCTCTAAAAGCAATCAGGGTTTGCATGCAGTAAAAAGCTGGCCAAAACAAGTAGATATCTTGAGACAATTTACAATCCAGAAATTCTTCAGACAGACCCATGTTTTTGCTATTAAATGGAACTGATTTCATAAACAAGGTAAAAAAGAATCAAGACTCTCCCTTGAACAAGGCCCTTATTCACAGTGCACTAGCACACAGAGAGTGTTTTTACTCGACAATACGTTAGATTACTGAATTAGATTTGAGGCTCACCTTCGGCCAGGTTTTTTAGCCCTTCTGAGGCTGGCTGTGCAGCGGCACCTGCAGCTCTGCTTCTACGTCACTGAGCTCTAACACAGAGCACTGCTGTCCATGTAGGCATATTAAAACCATAATTTAGATCCTGCTCAGTTTCTTCACATTTTTTATGGAGATACAGCAAAAATACAGAACTGTGGAACAATTTTCTTGTAATTAGTAGTTTTGAGGTGGCAGCCTGTGCAAATCCAGTCATGCTGACTTGCAGCACCACTTTTATATATTATGTGGGCTGGCAAGAAACTCTGTTTTATATATCCCTCTTAAAGACCAAGAGAGAAGGGACATGTACGTAGTCCATACCTATAACAACTTTCAAAGTGTTCTTTCTAGCACAGATAGGGATTGTGTGGAGACAAGAGAAGATAGTTTGCTCACATAAGCAGTTGCTTTTACAAACTTTAAATAGAGGCTAGCAGGCTGCTTTTGTAATTCTGTGCCATCAGCTTTCTGTATCATGTTGTACCTCTCTCTTACCTCTTCATTTGCTCTTGCTCTGCTTTCCCTCTCATAAAATGCTTTGTGTGCTCTGCCTCTCCAAGGGCTCTAACCCTGCCGCATCTAATTCCTCCGCAGCGCTCAGCCGCCTCCCCGCTGCGGCTGGCGGTGTTTGTGCACTGCAAACGACTCATTAGCTCTGCAGGTGCCTGGCTTCAAAGCTGGTAGCACAAGCCAAAAGGGTAGAGTGGCTTCTCCGTCAAGCCAGGGAAACTGTTGGCAGAGCCTGAGCTTTTCCAACAGGCTGCTTTGTTTCCAGCTCTTGCGGCTCCGGCAGCGGCTCCAGGTTAACCGGCGTAAGCCCGAGGGTGCAGGGTGAGTTGCAGGACTGGGAGGGGATGAGGAAAGTATTCTTGTGAGGAAAAGAAGACTACACAAAAGGGAGGGAAAGACTAGAGGAAGAAAACACATTAATAGATAGAGATTCTATAGGGCAATAAAGGAAGAACTGAACAGAGGAATAAAAAAGCAACAATGAGATCTGCAAAAGTAAGGGAGCTTAATCAAGGATGTCATACCTATACTTGCAGATTCAGAACCAGTTTATTTGAAATATCCAGCTGGGTAAGTACTGCAAACAGGCTATGTGCAATAATTTGCCTCAAATCGACATCAATGTTGGCTTTTGTTTTTGCTACTGTTGGAAACTTTTTTCCCAGTGTATTATTCCCATTTAGTTTCTCAATTTAATTGGTTTAGTCTCGTCAGAACAGAAGTATTTTATAGCTCAGTAAATAATCACATGAAGCTTACTCACAGGCATTCTCGTGCTATTAATAGCATATAGGCTAGGTGTGACCTGAAAGACAACATCTCAAGTATATGCAGTCCAGAGAGTGCTTGGACTTAAACATGGGCAGAAGGAGCAGCAGTACACGGTCCATATAGTGTATAGAACCTCCCAGCTTTATAGAGGGGAACTGCTAAACCTGCCTGCTCCCTGTTGTCGTTACGTTTGAAAGGAAAACAAGAAAGATTTTTTTTCAATGAGATTTGCGGAAGTAAAGAATTGTTAATAAGGAGAAGGAGGATATGCAGTGGGAGAAGACAAAGGGAGCAGAGAGGTGGTGGGCTTTTTGCACAAACTTGGGAGCATAACAGGCCAATCTGTGTAGAACCCACTTAATTTCAACTTTAATAATCACTTATTTTCTTAGCAAAACAGAAATATCAAGGTGATTAGTGGCAAATGTGATTACACACAGACACAGTCTGCTTTGTATTTTCAGTCTGAATCTTGTCCAAATTTGAAAGAGAAGACAAGATATTTCAGGAGGAGTGCATCATTCTGCCTTATGATTGTAACCTACTGTGAGGGTTTTTTCCCTCTTTATCTTTGTATTCTTTATATGCCTGTGCATTTCAGGCCCTTTTGGCCAGCGAATCTGCAAACAAAGGCTTCTCTCTTCCTGTGCCTAAGTGTGGTTTTCATCCCAGCTGTCACAGGGTGCAGGTGCCAAAGGCTATTGTGACAAATCGCAGCTCTGAAGGTAGATTAGCAGACATTTATCATCTTCCTTTGTGATGAAGAAAACATAAATGTACCCTAGCTTACAATTGGATTCCCTGAATTCTACTCCCCTGGTGCGGTATTTAAATCTCCTTTTGGCCCGGCCACCTCACCCTATCCAATGAATACACAGAACAAACAATAACAGAAAGTGTTTAGAAATAATGTTATAAAAGCAGGGCTTTTTGTTTGCATGTTTTCTCTCAGGTTCTGAACCTTCTCTTGCTGCAAAGTGGGATTAAATCAGTTACTTGTTTCTGTATGTCGTTTTTTTCACCGCTGAGTCACTGTTGGTCTCTCTGAATCTAAAATTAGAAAAAATTGCATCAAAGGGATGAACAGGGAATCACCCTTTGTGAATGAGTACACATGCATAGTAGCATGATGAGTAACATTTTCTGCCTATTTCTGATGGTGTTTGTTACAGAAGATAAAGAATAACTGAGAAAGATCTTGACAGTTTTCATATTCTCTTCACATGTGGAGAAACGTGCAGTAGAAAAGGCTTCTGCTGTTTATTAAACATTGTTCTGACATTTGTTCCCGTTGCTAAAGTATTGTTGATAAAGATAAGAGGAAGGAATGCCCCCTGCAACCTGCTGTTGGAGATGTAGAGGCACAGGGTCCTTACAAGTAGCAGATTTTATTGTATAGTCTTCAGCTAGACTCAAAGAAGTTGTTTTCTCCTAACATTAGATTATTTCTAACTATAGAGATCTCTGTTAACCTGGAGACATTTGTCACCACTATCATCAAGCCAGAAATTGACACCAATTTTAAACTTTTCTTTTTTTCTTTAAATCTTCAGAATCTCTACATTTTCCAGTGGAGGTGTAAAAGGCTTTATTGCTGATTTACACAGATTAACAACAGATTTACAACTCTTAGTTACTTCTTGTGACCTGTAAGGATGTAGCCCATGGACCCCTCGATGGTCTGTGGATAAGAAGATGGTAACAAGATTATATCTGCTCCATGGGTCAAAAAAACCCCATGTGAATAACAAGTATAACTTAAAAAAAAAAATCAATTTGCTTGAAACACATTAACTAAAGGCTAAAAAGCTTCACCTCTTCTAGAAGAAAAACTCTTCCCAAATCAGCATGATTTTCATAGGCTTTACATTTGAATGCAGAGAAAATGTTAAGGGAAAAAATATGGTTTTGCACATCGGATTATTTCTCTTTACAAATGAGGATTAGCCATATTATTTATAAATACAGTAAAGGCAACCAGCACACTGCATTGAACTAATTGATTTACAGAAGCAATCTTAATACTGTACCTTAGGTGGAATAGCATTGCACATCCCATAAAACAAAAGATAAATGCCCTTCTATATTAAAGTCAAGTGGCAAAATGATCTTGGATTTCATTAGGAGTTCCCTCCACCATCCCTTCCAGGCAGTGCTGGTGGGATACTAAAAAGATAAAGACTGCTTTAAACTTTCAATATAAAAATTTTGAGCATCTAATTATGTTCCATGCAAGTCTGGAAGCATTTGACTGTAGTCCCTGAAATAGTAAGGGTCTAAAGTAATGTTAGCATAGGTATGGTGTAGCCCAGGAGTTTTTTGAACTATAAAAAGGTAAAAAGGGTATTTTTTCCTTGCAGCTATTGGGGGACACTTTCTTATTGTTTTTGTTTTAAATATGTCCATTTGAGGAGTTAGTACATGCTGCTGGAGCAGAGGACAGACCCTCTCCAGAAGGCGATGGAAGAAGGCGGAATCGCTCGGCTCTCCTTCCCCGGAGCTCCGGAGGCAGCGCCCGCCCGCGCTAGCGATGGGCAGCGCGCCCGCTCCCCGGTGGTGCCGCAGTGCCGAATGGCTCCGACGCCTCGTGCGCGCCGAGCCCTCCGCAAGCCCCAGCCCACAGCTTCCCTGCTCCTCAGGAGCATCCTGCAGGTCCTGGCCGTTTCGGAGGGCTCCCCGGGCTGCTGGTGGGAGCACAGGCTGGAGCACCCACAGGGCTGCGGATGCCTCGAGGCTCTTCAGCGGGAGAGCCCAGTCTCCGCTGCAGTGGGATGCAGCTCTCCCGGCTTCCTCACTCCTTCAGTGCTGCTGGATATAAACCCCTCTAAGATATTCATAATGGCTAGCAAGTCAGTTTGATAGCGTTGCAATTAATGGCATAGGAATAGCTCTTTGATGTCAGTATCCTAAAAGTTTTCTAGCAATATCATCCATCACTAATATGAGACCAGAGGGAAGAATTTAGCAGCTGAAAAGTAGCATTTTCCATTCATGCAGTAACACTACAAATAAACACAGTGCTTTGCTGCACAGTTACTATGGAGCTGAAACCTGCAACTGTAATAGCAGCTGTTTCAGGTATAATGAAAATTCATCCCTTATTTTTCTTTAAGCTTTAAGAGCTTTAGAGAGTGGAAAAATGATTTTCACTGTCTAATCGATATGAACATCATTTTCAGACTTTTAAGCTTTTTTTAGCCTGTTGATGGAAATATCAATTTAATCACATCAGATGAGAACGACAAATTGCTTTTCCACCCCACCACCCCCTTCCCCGAAGCTGAGTTTTTCTGTTTATTTCCATACTGCAAATGAACATTTGCAGTTTTGGAACTGTACCTCCAGTTCCAAAATTCCTCTTACATGTTTATCTACTTCCCTGGCAGCCTTAATATCTTTTTTTTTCAGAAAAAGATTCTTTATTGAATTGGTCAGTACAGATTGTTTTTTCCTTAGCTCGAAGGTCTTTACAGAGTATAGAAAGGGAGCCGACCTCCCTGGAACTGCATGGAATACAATAGCAACATATATAGAATCACAGAATATTCAAGGTTGGAAGGGACCTCTAGAGATCATCTAGTCCAACCTTCCCGCTCAAGCAGGGACACCCAGAGCACGTGACACAGGGCGGCATCCAGGCGGGTTTTGAAGACCTCCAGAGTAGGAGACTCCACAGCCTCCCTGGGCAGCCTGTGCCAGGGCTCTGTCACCCTCACAGCAAAGAAGTTCCTCCTCACCTGGAGACGGAACTTCCTGTGTTTCAGTTTATGCCCATTTCCCCTTGTCCTAGCAAGGGGATTATATATAATCCCCTTGCAACATATAGCAACAATATATAGCAACAATATATAGCCTCTTGTCTTCCGTGATGCCATTGGTTAACGGTGATGAATAGGAGATGCCTTTCATATAGTTTTTGGCAGTCAATACCTCTACTTTTTCCGGTATGGAGGTAGTACTGTATGGTCTTTCCTTGCCCTGGCTGGTAGGAAACACTTAGCCCTTTTTACTCCTTTCCTACCCGCTCCTTCCCACAGAGAGCGGCCTGAGTTATGGACGCAGGACGTATTGCACCCGCTGGGGACAAGCCCCACCGCACAGCGAGCCCTGAGGCCTGGCGGACAGGAAAGCACCAAGTGCTCGGAGAGCCCCGGAGCACCTCGGGGCTGGCAGGGCTCCCCAGGGCAGCAGGGTTGAGCTGCGAGGACACCCGCAGCGTCGCCCGGTCCCACAGGTACCCGGGGCTCCCGGAGCGCCTTGCAGGCCTGGCGGCCGCACGTCCAGCACTGGGGCACTCATGAGGGAGGAAAGCAGGTACAGCTCTTGTTCCAGAAGTCCGGGTGGCGAGAGGGGCTTCCTGGAGGAAGCGGCACAGCAGGCAGGGTGGCCTGGCCGGCCTTGGGCCACTGCGCTCCCGGTGGGAGCAGCACAACCACTGGCAGCAGAGCAAGCTTCCCTGCTCCCTGCAGGGCTCCTTGCAGCACCTATAGCCAGCTACCCTGCTGCTACAGCACTGGCTTTTCTTAGGATTTAAGTATTATTTCTGCATTAATGTCCTGCTTTTTAATATTTTGTGTTGACCTGTTTTAAGCTTTCTTGTTTTATTTCCTTCCAGCAAGGCAGTTCCTGAGATAGCAGCATAAATATGCATGTTATCTTAAAAGTGACATTAAAAATTTAAGCCGTGGAATGTACTGCTTCTTTTGAGTATGCAAACTGCTGTGTAGGAAGATCTCAAAAGTGTTTTCTTTAGCAGGAAGAATAAAATCTCAGAGTCTTGGATGGACCTACTTTGTTGTAGAAGGTTTGATAGTGAAGAAAGACAGTAAAAATCATCCGGAACATTGTACCGAAAATGCTACCTAATTTGAGATTCATCCAGTTTTACAAAAGCAAATTGAACACTTTTGTCCAACTAATCTTTAGACAGTGTTTAGTTTTACAGTGTGAACACTGTGCATAGGATTTTCCATGGGAAACTTAAGGAAAAAGCCAGCATGGGCTTAGCACTCAAGTAGTGCAGCTTAATAGAAAATGTCTTGCTAAGTATGAGTGTAACAAAATGTATTGGTAACATAACATAGGTGTTGTTTAGACCACTTCTTGATTACCTTAAGCCAATGTTTTTGGTTAAAAGGAATGTATTTTCAGACTTAGCATTAGTCTGCCATGTTTACAGGATTTTTGTAATGGTGGAAGCCTGTTTCCAAGGCCATGCCCTGACAACCCATGTGAATCATTGACTGCCTTGAACATAGTGTCTTACATTAAAATCTTTGCTGATAATTGTGTCAAAACTGGTACAGGCCTCCTCAGGAGTTCTCAAATACATGGTGCAATTAAAGAAAAACAGACAATCTTGGCAGAAAAACTGCTAATAGGTTGGATTTTTAGTTAGTGAAGCTATGAGATTGTTCATACGAACCAGCTATTATTTTCTGCTCTAATCCAAGTCTAATCCAAGGTATCTTTTTTCTTTTTCTTTTTTTTTTTTTTTCTTTTTTTCTTTCCCCTGTAGGATTGGTGGAGCTGTTCCAACAGTCTTCTCCTATTTTTCCGAAGTGCTTGCTCGGGAGAAGCGAGGTGAACACTTGAGCTGGCTCTGTATGTTTTGGATGATTGGTGGCATCTATGCTTCTGCAATGGCTTGGGCAATAATTCCTCATTATGGTGAGAAAAATATCTTCTCCTTGTCACTTGTATCTATTCTAGTATAAAGCTTCCAAATTACAGTTAAAAGAGGGTACTTTATGTCTCATCTCAAAATACTGACTTTGCTGTTAAGAAATAATTCTCCCCTTTTGGATGCAAGCAATATAGATCACAGCCTGAAAAAAACAGAATATTAACATGTATGAAAAATAGCTAATGGCCATGCTTATTCTGATTCTTTAAATTACTTGAAAATTGGCCTTATATAGTGTAACTGATGTTATTAATGAAACTGGGGAAGATAGCTGATATAGAGACTTGAATTAGAAAAAATACTTTTTAAAAGCCTGTTGTCAAAATTGTGCTAGTTTCTGCTGTCTTTTATTGGATAGTTATTTTTAATTGTTTGAAACTGAGATAAAGTATCAATTATACTCATTCTAGAAGAGTGAGGGCCATGTGCTTTCTGGTTCTGTATATAAAGCTGTACTGAATATTTTGGTCTGAGTAAATCCTTTTAGTGAGGTAGAAATCATATAGACTGCACTTAAGTATTGCTGAAATGAATGAGGGTGAAGAAGGCAGAAAACCTGCAGTGATTGAAGTTACCTGGCTATGCAACACATGTCACCTTTTGGAAGAACTCCTTACTGCTCTGCCATAGTTAAACATTATATGAAGGCACAGGCTTGATTCCTGGTCTCCTGGGCTTGCCTTTTGGAAGAGTTAAGCACTCGTGGGTCTCTAGGGGAACTGAAATTGCTCAGTGGTTCTTACAAATCAGCCTCCCTAAGTGCTTCTCCCTGACACTCTTCAAAACAATTAAAACGCTGTTGTGAATTAGCTGGAATCTGAAGCAGTTTCTTAAGCCAGACAATGAGATTCACCCAAGTTTTGATTGTGAAAGAGCGGAGAATGGAAAATTCATAAGCTTTGCAGTAAGGCCCAGACATACATTATAATCATGAAGACTAATCAGATACCTAGACTGTTGCATTACATTTAATTTGAGTGTCCCGTGTGCTCAGCCTATCTCCTTAACCTTGTCTTTTGTTCTTGAATTGCTGGAATCAAGGGCAGGAACCTTTTAAAACTTGTTTTTTTTTTTTTTTTTTCCCAATTAGTAAATTGCTCTGGAGGCCAAGGTTATTTTGTTTTGGGTTTTTTTTTTGTCCTTTCCTTTATATTAATTTTTTATTTTCTTTCTAAGTAAAATGCAAACATGACAGATTGATTTTAAAGGACTGTCTGATTAGATTGTAGATTATATATATAACTCTGTAACCTTTACTGAGGTACTTTCAAAGCATCACATAGCAGTATATTTCAATAAATAATAATACACATCCTTATACAAAGTCTGAGGCACTAGAGAATAATTTTATTCTTTTTTTGACAGTGGAAGCGTATCAGTAACAAAAGCCCTAATGAACTAGTGGTTTTCCTTGTTTTTTTGGTTTTTTTTTTGTCCTTCTGCAAAGATAACTATGAAATCACTTAAGACAGAAAATTGTAAAAGCGAATTTTAAAAGGCAAAGGCAGTATTCTTTAGCTCTAGCTGTAGAAATCACTCTCCTGTATTAGTAAAAATTATAATAGCCAAAAGGAGGGCTAGGAGGAGAGGAATTAAGAGCAGAAACAATGCTTCCTCACAAGAAAGGAAATGGATTTGCACATCATTATGGCACAATTAAACAAAATATATTTATGGCTTTTGTTGTGGTCTTAAAATCGCCTTCAGGTTAGATCAGACAGTTTCATGCTGCTGTCAAGTTGAAGCCTGTGTGTTGGCTCCCAGCGTAACTGCGGAGCGGCTCCAGGGGAATTGGGTGCGTAGGAAGCCCATGTTCTGTGGCAGCGCTGCACAGCTCTCCAGGTTAGGTGAGGTAAATACTGTCTTGCATCCCTGCACTGTGTGTGACATGAGTGTTCACGAGGAAACTCCCGTTTGGAGTATTTTCGCTCTTGCACTTCCTACATGATTTCCCTTCTAACAGTGCACAAGAGTCTCTGAGCTGTTTGCTTCTCATACGAGGCGGACAGAGAGTGAGTTGATTTTTCCTAGTTGAAGTCAGAAGTAATTCAAAGGAACATGGAACGAAGCTGCATCTGTTCAAAACCATTAAACCTCCACTGAGCATAATAGAATTATTCTTAAATGGATAGAAAAATACCAGAGCAACAGAGTAAAATCATTCTGTAGGTTTTTCTTTCCACTTCTTTTACAAAGATAGTCTTTTCATTTGCACCAGCTCTTATATAAGACACTTTATAAAGCCCTGGATCCACAGGAGGCATCCATTATCTAGCTCCAAGGCAGCCAGTGAGGCTGTCCCAGCTTACCAGTTGAAGATATAGCTCTGTCCTCTTGTGAGAGAACGCGTACATCTTACATAGGCAACAGTTTGTTTCTGTTCAAGCAGCATGGGAATGCCCCAAAAGTGGGTAAAGTTCTAAAGCGTAAAATAAAGGGAGGGAATAGCTGCCGTGGCACCTGGCTGTTATTGAGGGGCAGTGGATGGGATGCTGTGCTGCAGTGACTGTGTACCTGAAGATCCATGTTGCAAGTGCCTGACTATTCCAGCTGTAAGCCAAGAGTTGTTATTTCAGGACTCCATTAAGGCTAAAGTGTTGGCTTCTGCTTAAAGATTGAAAATGCATGTAAACTTGTGCAGGATCTCTGAAGGAGCAGCTCAGGTCATGGAGAAGCTGTTGGAATAAATATCTCCAGCGAGATGCCTCTAACTGCTGCAGGTTAACGGGGTCCCCCATGGGGCTGCTCTGAAGGGCTGTGCTCTGTGCGCGGCCCAGGTCAGCATGGGGAAGAAAATTACCATTTCAAATTTAGCATCACGGTTCAAGGTAGACGTCTCCAAACCCATGTATCAAATGTATATCGCAATGTTCTGTAAAAGGTTTGCTTTTCAAGCAGTGAAGAATTTTAAAACCGAGAAATTACATATCAAATTAAAATCTGAATAGCAATATGTTGCTGTTTCATTATACTGGATTTGTATCACAGTTTGAGGTTGGGGAACAAGCAGAGTCATCCAGGTGGTTCTAGCTGTTGTAATTATTAATTTAAACACAAAAGAAAGTTACAAATTAGTAATTCTACACAAGCGTATTGCCTGCCATACATTGTGTTGTTTAAAATAATAAAAAAATCTAGATTTTTATTCTGCTATATCAGCAAACTAAAAATCAAGGAAGACTGAATAAGGATTTCAGCTTATTTAAGCTGTAGATATGATATTCTGTGACGTTTCATGTTCTTGACATTTGATATACAGAAATATTTTCTGACTTATTGAACTACAGAAAAAAAAGTTGGAGTTATGCTCCAAAAAAAGATATTTTATATTCTCTTCCAAATGCAGGTACTTCTTTTTCCTATTTCAAACCTGGTATAAGACTGTGTATCCTCAGATCAGGGATCCAAATATCAGGCTTCTTCATTTGTCAGAATGCCTGTAACAAGATCATAATCTTAAGATCTACAAACCCACAACACAGAATTTAATATGTAGGATTTTGGATTGGGAGCACAGGAGAAATTGCAAGGCCTAAGATTCATTAATATCAGTGTCTTTCTCTGCACAGTTTTATGCATTGAAAAGGTTGCCTAAAAGAAACTGTACCATAACGGACGTGTTTCTGAACTCTCCTGGTCTTCATTTCTTCAACAATTTGTGTTTTTACCGGTGTAATGTTAAGACAAAATAACAAAAAAAGTAAATACCAGCAGTTTGCTATTTGTCATGTAATTGTTTAGTGTGTAGCTTAACTAGACATGAAGATGAGACAGAGGAGTGCTGTCATATACTTGAACCCAGTAAAAAGAAGATAGTAATGGTTCTCCTGCCAGCATAATGCACAGATTCATGCCTGCAGATCCTAACACACATGGTATATCCATGCATTAATTAAATCCTGTTTTAAGAATGTAAGCAGAAGGCTGTTATTAATATGCAGAAAGGAATAAGAGGAACACTATCTTCTTCTCTTTTTATATCACTTTCTAAATAACGTCATTTGGCTTTCTTCTTAAAAGGTCAGTAAAACAAACCAAATGTTCATAACTTTAAAATTTGCTTTAATTTATGGGAAGCTGCCTTCTCAGCATTAACTACTGCTAGTTTCCCAGTTGCGTTTTGCAACTCATAGGTGGGAATTGTATTTGCAACTAGTTTTGTGCAAAGGAAGCCTTTGGAGAGCAAGGGTTTCCCTCACCGGATGGATTTGTAAATCCAACCCGATGGTAGTAAGTACTGGTAATGTGGGTTATAAAGTAGAATTAGATGGGGATTTTCATTTTGCAGAATAGAGCTCTTTAAGCCTCAGGGCAGTGGTCTTCAATGTCCTGTCCAGCACGGTGCTAATGACTTCTCGAAGGAACCGTCCTCGGAGCATGGAAAGGTCTAGGTAAGGGCGACGACGTGAACTTCAGTGCCATTATTTTCTGGGAGGCGGGAGAGAACGGTATCAAACAGATTTCATGGAAAAAGCTCTGTGGTGTGATCTGAGGCAAGGACTTTACTACGCTATGTATCAGTCAAATTCCAATTAAATTAGACTAGATTATTCAACAAAAGACTACAGAATTACCCTCCTAATATAGTACAGAATCAAGGAAATACAAAACGTGCTACTTTATAACATGCTGAATACAAAAAGGAGATTTAAGTCGTTCATCTAGACATTTTATAGAGACTAGTGTAATCACATTACATAAGAGATCTTCATCTGAACTATTCATGTTTCATCAGTAGAGTCTTTTTTCCCCTTAATTGAGGACCAGGCACTTGAGTTCAGAAGAGAGGTATTTAGCTCCATTCAGCGAACACAGATTTGGAGGAGAAAGAACTGGAATAAGATACAGATGAAAAAACATTTCATTTCAGAAAATAAGGATTTTTTTTTCCATCTAGCGGGAATGATATAAGTAGGAAAGTGTTTACATATTTGCTATTAAGCAGACTTTTTCCTTTGCATCTGCAAACAACTGTGTTACAAAG